TCTCTCTGTCTCCCTCTGCCCCTCCTGCTTGTGCTCTCTCTCTCTCTATGATAAATAAATAACTTTTTTTAAAGAAAAAGAAGGATCTTTCTAAATCACAGATTTGATCATTTTATTTTGTACTTGAAAGTGCTTATCGGGTTCCAATTGCATCTGGTATAAATTCTAAATTCATTAGCAAGGCACGGAGGCCTCCTGTTATTTAAAGCCAGTTTTCCTTTCTTGTCTTGTTTAAAGTTGGATCTCCCTCCCTCCCTCTCACACTCTGCACTCCAGCCTATAAAGTCCCTTTTGCTTGCTCCTTGGCATCCTGCTTTTTCACAGCTCTGTCTTGGTCCACAGTACTTCCTCTATTTGCCTTTTTTTTTCCTTTTATCTCCTTGGAGGCTATTTCTTTATCTTCGAAAATTCCAGTAAAGGATCACTTGCTCCATGAAGTTTTTTCTCAATCCCATATGTAGAATCGAATAATCTGTTCTTTGTGTTTATTTTTCTCACAAGGTGCTTGGACATGCCTAGTCTTCCTCCTTATCGGACTCCCCTGATGGAATTAAACACTCCATCTTGTGAAGGCTCTTTGTTACAGTGCTCGGGGCATGCCTTGTCTCCCACTCCCAGGGTGTAAGCTCCTGAGAGCAGGGCCTCCTCACTTTTATGTCCCCAGGTCTTTGCCTATGCCTAAAAGACATTTAGAATATATTCTTCAAATAAATTTTAAATATTTTATTCTCCAAGTTTCCTAGCATCTTGAATATTATTCACATTGCAAAGATCTTAGCCTCTTGAATAATTGTTCAAAATTATTTTTGGTGATGGAATTCTATTTTCAGTGTCTTTCACATTTGCAGCACTTGTGATTTTTAAACTAATAATTAAAGAATATGCATCCTCTAAGCTTTCAAAACAAATGGATCATGGTATCCCTAAATAAATATTCAACTTGGGATAAAAAATATGGGTGAAAATAATGAAAATTTGATTACACGTCTATTTTACAGATCATGAAAGTAACTTAAAGATTGTTTCCTGTACTTAATATGCCTCAAATCACCTGGAACACTTGAAAAACTAGAGATCCCTGAGTCCCATTCAGAATCTCCTTTGTGGAGCTGGGAAATCTGTATATAAAACAAAACAAAAAATATTCTCCAAGTGATTCTGATCCAGTCCGTCCCTAAAATAGCATTAGGAAATTACTGATTTAAGAGATCTGAGGTAAATTTGATACACAGCCAAGATCAGAAGTTACATTTTCAAAGATAAATCGCAAGTAATTTAACAATGATTAAAACTTCACTTTGTTGGGGCGCCTGGGTGGCTCAGTCGTTAAGCGTCTGCCTTCAGCTCGGGTCATGATCCCAGGGTCCTGGGATTGAGCCCCGCATCAGGCTCCCTGCTCTGCAGGAAGCCTGCTTCTCCCTCTCCCACTCCCCCTGCTTGTGCTCCCTCTCTCACTGTGTCTCTCTCTGTCAAATAAATAAATAAAATCTTTAAAAACAAACAAACAAACAAAAAAAAAAACTTCACTTTGTTTTTTAACACCTCTTACCAGACACATAGCTAAAATTCTACAGAATTTGAAAGCAGGAATTCCTCTTCACTAATCCCATACTTTTTTTCCTTTATGTTGCTGCCCCTGAAAATGCATACTACTTAAAGCTGCCATAAACAGCACAGTTAATATCAGGTGATAGTTCCAAGATTTAATGAAATTTAAAAATATACAATTATTCCAAAATGTATATTCCCGTTGCTTGACAATCAAACCTTAATAATTAACGAATAGGTACGTTACAAAAGCATGACAGCTGTCTGGTTTCATGAATACCATGTAATTTTAAAGAAAAAAATAGAAACATCACAGAAGTACTCTTGTAGTTTGAAATATCTGGGATTAAGCCAATTAAACCACTTCAACATTGTCAATAAAAGAATGAACTCATGGGGCACCTGGCTGGCTCAGTTGGTTAAGCGTCTGACTCTTGGTTTCAGCTCAGCTCTTGATCTCATGGGTAGTGAGCTCCAGCTGGCATTGGGCTCCGTGCTCAGCTGGGGGTCTGCTTGATAATTCTCTCCCTCTGTCTCTCACCCCCTCTCTAAAATGAATTAAAAAAAAAAGGATGAACTCCTTTTGGTATTCCTCTTTCATTTTTTTTCAAAGATTTTATTTATTTGAGAGAGAGAAAGCACTAGAACGGGGGCAGAGGGAGAAGCAGACTCCCCACTGAGCGGGGAGCCCCATGCGGGGCTCAATCCCAGGACTGTGAGATCATCACCTGAGCTAGAGGCAGACGCTTAACCGGCTGAGCCACCCAGGTTCCCCTCCTCTTCCTGCTTCTCATTTTTAAACCCCCTGTACCATGTGTACTCTATAGCCAAAAAAAAAAAAGCAGTTCTAACTACATTTGAATGAAGTACTCCATGCTGGTTCTGAACTTTTTCACATTAGTGATTTATTTCCATCTCTATGCTCAAATGCTACCCTCTCAGAGAGGCTTTTCTGAGCACACTACAAAGTAAATACTCCGTGCCCACCGCCCTTCTCTACGCACAACAGCCTGCTGTATTTTCCCTTTTCTGACCAATTACGTAATTGTCATTTGTCTCCAACCACTGGAATTTAAGTTCCATTAAAGTAGAGACTATGTCTGTCTGTTCACTGTGTCCCATTAGAAAGTCCAAATGAATATTTTTACATAATTAATACATATGACTAAGAATTTCAGCTTACTGAATGCACTAGTGAGTGATGTTTAAAAGTATAGGTTCTGGGCACCTGGGTGGCTCAGTAGGTTGAGCGTCTGCCTTTGGTTCAGGTCATGATCCCAGGGCCCTGGGATCGAGTCCCTTCTCCATCTGCCTCTGCCTCTCTCTCTCTGTCTCTCATGAATAAATAAATAAAAATCTTTAAAAAAAAAAAGTAGAGGTTCCCCAACATGAGATATAGATATATAGTTATATAATGTACATTTATAGTGTAGTGACCACAACCGTCCCTGAACTGCCCCCCCTTATTCTCTCCTCCCCCAAATACATATCCATTTCCCACCTTACACACACACACACACACACACGCACACACACACACACACAGAGCCCATGATTGCTGTCATACACAGTGGATATGTGGATATATCCAATATACAGTGGATATATCTAAATTAAGGTTTCTTGCTACATTTTGTGGTTTGGGAGTCAACAAGTCAACCTGCATGGGTTGATTTTGTAGCTCATCATCATCATGGTGGTGTCAGCTAGTATCTGAGCCTTAGATGATGCAGATTCTCAAGTCTCCCAGAAAGTTTCCCAAAAGCAATATTTCCAGGGGTGATACAGCATTTTTGTGTGATTTATAACATTGTTCTAAAGGATATTGTAATCCATTAGAGCATCAGCTGTAGATACTTCCATCACAGGCATGCAGACGGTTCTATGTGCTAAGAATTAGGACAAAAATCTGAAATGGTTTCTGTGACAAGGCATAGCATAAATGGTATAAGAGAGCCATGATAGCAAATCCTGACTTTGCTACGAGTTTAGTAGTGTTACCTTTGGCAAGGTACTTGACGTTCTAAACAATGGTTTTCTGTTCTGTAAAATGGGGATAATTATACCTACATAACAAATTGTTGTAAGGACTAAATTAAATAATAGTATATATAAAGCAACCGCTTGCCACCAGCTAAATAGTTGAAATGGCAGTTATTTAAGTAAAACTTTTCATTCCCCATGAGGGCACTCAATTTGGTGCTAGAAGTACAGTACTACTCAAGTACTATTTGTTGATTTGTTAATCTATCCTATTATACTCCTTGGAGACCCTTCTGTAATCATCTTACTTAACAAATAGGGCATGGGAAAGAACATGTTACAATCAAGACAGTTTTGGTGCTCATGAATTCAAGGTAACCTTGTTATAAAATTTGAAAATGGCAGTTTGTGTGTATAGTTAAAAATAAAAACAATTGCAACAACAAACTGCATAAGAGGTAGAATGAGACTATTTATATTCAATATAATCTTTCTGTCTCAAGATAACTTTTTAGAGGAAGAGGTAGGTTTAAATCATGGCTAAGATGAATAATCATAATAGTTCTATTGAAAGAAGGTGAACAACTTTTAGAATGTCCAGATACCTACTTTTAATTTTGCATGCCAACAGGCAGAGTTACTGGAATTTGTAATATAAAGAATAATTTGTTGAATTGTGGGGTTAGTTATATTTACATGCACACACATATACCCACAAACCCACAAACACATACTATCCTTCTATCTGTAACAGATTTGTCTTCCCAACTAGGTTTACTTGGAATTTTGTGAAATATGTTTCTTTTTCTTAAGTCTGTATGAGTGGTGGGTTGAGTAGTAGGGGCAGGGGAGAAGGTGGCAGAATGTGAAAAATTTCACCATAAAACTATCATGCATGTGACTGACTTACGGATTCAATGTATTTGACTTAACCAGTCTTGTTTTAAATAACCACCAAACCACTCTTGTTCTTTAGGAATGCAAACTATCACACTATGTTCATCTTAGTTTGGAAAATTCTTTGTCAATAGTAAAGAATTCAGACTTTCACTCATCCTTCCAGCATAGTAAAAAGTACATATAATTTAGGGATCAAATCCAATGTCAGCCATTGATTAGTTGAATGGCTTTTGTTACAAAACAATTTTGTTTTTTAAAGTCCAATTTCCTTGATTTGTAAAATGGAAATAAAGATAGCTACCCCAAAAGACTTACTCTTACAGAAATCAAGTGTGTATGTACGTATATACATATATATATACATATACATATTTATAACATGTTTATATCACATGCATTTAGTTTGTATATATATGTAAAGCACCACATAGTAAGGTTTAAAACATGCTCTGCTTAATTAAAAATGTAGCCACTTTGTAGAATACACTTTAGATGTTTCCTTGAATAGTGTAAATAGCAGCCTTTTCTAGAGGAAAGAATAACATTCACTATTTGTTCTCTCATTACAGGCTTATGAAAAAATTGCTTACCTTCTCACCAACTTAGGTAAGTCCTTCGTTTTTACTTCACTCCTTAGTAAAAGAATAACATATGGGCATATCAGTCTGTAGTTGCTTTATGTACTCTAGCATTTTTAATGTCAACTTCAGTTATGTAAATTGTCAATCAAAATGAAAGACATGCATGGGAAGTTGGAGCAAATTACATAACTATAGAGAGGCAGTGCATGTAGCTACAAAATCTCCTTCCTTGAAATTATTAGCAAACCTAGCTCTCCCTACATGGGAGTGCTTTTCTCCCCCTACCTTTTTAGTTCTTTGGGTTTTTCCCCCAATTTTTATTTTTATCAAAATATTATACTACATGTATATTATTTAAAAGGCAAAATAGTGTTAAAAAATTTATAATTAAGGGTTGCCTGAGTGACGCAGTCAGTTATATGTCCCTGAGTTTCAGCTCAGGTCATGATGTCAGGGTCCTGGGATCAAGCCCCACATAGGGCTCCATGCTCAGCATGGAGTCTGCTTGAAATTCTCGCCCTCTCCCTCTACCCCTCCTGCTTGGTCTGTCTCTTTCTCTCTCTCAAATAAATAAATAAAATATTTTTAAAAAAAGAAATTTATAATTAAAACCAGTACTCTGCCACATTACCCATTCTTATTTTCCATTTTCCTGAGAGACTACTTTTTTTTAATTTTAGCAATTTTTTTTGTGATTTCCTGCTGTATTTCTAAATAGCATGTTTTCTCTGACATTCTTGGATTTTTCAGGTTTGGGAAGCTATTGCTTTCCTCTTATAAATGACAAGAACTTAGGTCTTAACACTCCCTACAGTGTTCTGTCCCTGCACACTTTCCCATCTATCACCTGTTATACACACACTCTCTTTCCTCCTTCCAAAGTAGTTATATTCAACAGATTTGAATTTTTAGCCAAATTAATAATTAGTGTTTACATCATTGTTTCTATTTAACTATTTTTATATGTAAGGTGTGGTATGTACTATGATTGTTTCCTTTCTTAGACAATCTTTATATTTTCATGAAGCTAATAATAGCACTTTTTTCTTTAATTTTCTACATACTTTCTTAATTTATCCCAAACTTTCTGCCTCAACTCTGAATGGTCTCTAAATGCTTTCAAAGCCATCAGGTATGCTACTAATTTTATTTTCTCCTTAGAGTTCCCCTTCCTGAACCCATTGTTTACTCCACTCTCAAGGGCCTACTGCTTTCTCTCTCCCATGCTCTGGGAATTCCTTTTACCTTTATTTCTCAATTGGATACCACTCTTTGGACCCTTCTGTCTTCTTTTGTCTTGGCTTAATTTCTTATTTTGCTGCCGGGAAAGTAAATTTCTTGAGACCTTATGTGTCTGAAACTGTCTTTTCTCTGTCCTCAAACTTGATTTTTGGTGTCTCGGTTTGGGAAACAAAATTTTGATTACAGAGCAATTTGAGCAGTGATCTTTCATTGTTTGAAAACTCACCAGATCCCAGGCACTGTGCTGGACATTCCTCATGCATTTTGTTTTATTGACATCACAATTCTATGACAGTAGGATCCCTATTTTATGAATTAGAAAATGAAAATAATTAAGTTAAATAAGTAGAATTTAAACCCAGGTGTGGCAGAGTCCACTTCATTATGGTGGAATAACTATATCACTCCACTTTTGCTTCCCCTATAATGTATTTACAAGTAATAACAAAAGGAACATTGTGTAGAGGGAAGAACTGGGTCCTAGGTCAGGCTCTGGAAGTAAGTGGTCATATTACTTGGAAATTATGTGACTATGAGCAAGTTTTCTCTTCTCCATTCTTTGTTTGCCTCCTTCCCCCATTCCCCCCGCTCCTTCTCTTCCTTTGGTTCTTCCTCTGTTTTTGTTTTTTTAAGTCTCAGATTTTGTTATTGGTAAAATGAGAATGATAACATTTCCTAAACTGTTGTGGATTGGCTGCCTGATATATGACAAGTGTTCAATAAATGGGAATGATCTGTTGCATTGTTCTTAAACCCTGTGAGCTACAGTTTCTGCAGCTGGATAATGAAGCACTTAAACTAGATGTCTGAAAGCTTTCTTCTATCTCTGATTCTCTATATTCATTTGCTTTTAAAGTCTTTCATACCTAGGATGGAAGCAAATCTAAGGAAGTGATTTGGAGGATCATAATAGTAGGAAATAGAACAGTTATTTGTGTTAAGTACCAGGAGAACCAAATTTGCACTTGATATTTGATTTTTCCATCCATAACTCATGACATAGTGCCTATGGATTCATAACAATTAATAATGAATGGACTATATTAATTTAAATTAGCAAAAATATTAATATTTTATTTAAAATGTCATTGTGTATATAGATATAAATAAGTATATATTTAATATTTGAATATTTATAAATACATACATAATAAATATATATGGTATTGTATTCTGTGTAATTTTAGACTGTGCAAATTTGTGCTTCAAATTAGAAATTAGGTTTTACTTCCTGGTAGAGGTCACACATTTTTTATTTAAAGGATCTTTTAAACTTTATGTTTCTTGACTTATTTTTTAGCCAAATATTTTATTTTTGAAAGTCACAAAAAAAAATCAAAGTTTCAATTCTATTACACTTTTTATGTGAGTAGAAATATATAATATTTGCTCCAAAGTAATTTTTTTTTCAGTTTGGTTTTATGGTCCAAATAACAAATTATTTAAAATAATGGAGTATCTGGGACGCCTGGGTGGCTCAGTCGGTTAAGCGGCTGCCTTCGGCCCGGGTCATGATCCCAGGGTCCTGGGATCGAGCCCCACATCGGGCTCCTTGCTCAGCAGGGAGCCTGCTTCTCCCTCTCTCTCCCTCTGCTTGTGCTCTCTCTGTCAAATAAATAAAATCTTTTAAAAAAAAATAATAAATAAATAAAATAATGGAGTATCTGTAATATGAATTATCTACAAAAAATGAACATGGATTCCAAGAAACAAATTAAGCCAAACAATTAAGTTTCAGTTTTGTCATACAGAGGTCAATTCAGGAACAAGAGCACATGTATCAAGAAAATAGTAACAAAGAGTCAGATGTTGCCATGTAAATATTAGGCAAAGCAGAATTTAAGATCTGTTTGAGTGGGAAAGAGAGATACATCATACTGATAAACAGTCGGCCAGGTCAGTGTAATAGTCATGATTTCTATACAGCTTTTTATAAACCTTCAAAATATAGAAGGCAAAACATGATAGAAATACCAAAAAACCTGACAAATCCACAATCAAATATAAGCCAGGATATAAAATATTTGAATATCATAACTAATAATCTTCTCTTTAAATATATATAAACTGTATGCTCAACAAAAAATATATACTCTTCCCAAACACTTAATACATAGACAAAATATATCCAAGTAATTTGACCACAAATGAAACCAACTTTTTTGCTCCAAAGCAGAAATCACACAAGAACATTTGTGGATCATGATGCAATAAAATTAGAAGTGGAGATCCAAAAACAAACTACACAACGGGAATTTTTTTTTTAAATCCGTATTCTCAGTTCCAGATAAGTTTTGTACTAAATTTACAAACTGTTTGGAATGAAACAATCATGAAAACACAACCCACCAAAACCCTGGGGGAATGTGGGCTCTCTTGGGTGCTCTCACTAGTACTCACCCACCAGTCAGCCTTAGGGATGCCCCACAGACCCCCGTCACTTCTGGCACATATTGTAGTTGGGCTTGGAATCCCCCAGGACCTATTCCTATTCTGTGACCAGATCATGCACACATTTTGGCCCACCTTTCCCTTAAATCAGACCCCATCTGTTTTCTATCTGCCTTGAATTCCTTAATTATATGAAATATATATTAGCTGTGCATACAGATCTTTTATCATTATTTGGATCCTGGGTGGGAGCAGGGGCTACAGTCCACCCTGCCATCTTAGTTCAGTCTCTTGCATCATTTTGTTTTGTTTTAAGAGTCATAGAAACATAAGTAGACAGGTTCTTGAAATCATCTTGCCTAAACTCCTTGTTTCATAAATGTTAAAACTGGTCGCAAAAAAAACATAAAGAGATCTACCTGAGATTACCAGAAAATTAGCTATAAAGTTGAGATAGGAGCCCAGCTCCTATGACTGAGGTAGTCTTCGTTCCTCTTTACCATTCTACTTCAGTCTGCACAAAATATTCATTCTTCAAAGAACTCTGTGGACAATTTAGGTCCTTATTCAAGCATAGACAGTTTGAGTCAAGGACTGCTCCAGTGTACATGGTTATTTCCAAATGACAATAGCAGACAGAATCCTGAAAATCTTTATACATTATTAATAACGGGCATCCTATTTTTGTAGCTGTGGGGAAAGTCTGAAGATTGTATCATTGGATCCTTTTATCAACTATGTATGTACCGCAGACATTATCATTCACGTTTTGCAGATGCAGACCCTAGAATTCAGAGACACTGAGTGCCTCGTAGAACTAGTAAATGGCTGAACCAGAACACAAACATGAGGCTTCTGATTCTATCTCCATATTTCTTGTTATTCACCTCCTCTATGTAAACACACCCTGTTTTCCTTTTAGAATATCCTCGAACAGAATCCGAGTGGGAAAACAGCTTTGCTCTGAAGATGTTCCTCTTCCAGTTTGTTAATTTAAATAGTTCAATCTTCTATATTGCTTTCTTTTTGGGGAGGTAAGTCAACTTTATGTTCATCATCTTTGCAGAGTGAAAAAGACTGCCAACAGTTCCATTTGCCAAGGCAAATCCTTGTCCCCTGCCTTGGAAAACTGCTAACCAGCCTTCCCATGCATTTTCCATCAAAAGACTTAGTTCAGTGCTTCCAGGTGCCACTACCAATTAAAGCTGGCATAAAAAAATAAAACCTATGTACCATGCTTGGGTTGGATTATGAGTATCCGGTCATCAGTAATGATTTTGTTAAATAAGAAAATGATTTTTGTATAACCCTAGGTTACATTTCCTTAGTGTGGAAACTTCTCCTACTTATCATGTTAACATTTTTTCCTATGTTTGCTGCACAAAATGAAAAAGAAGCATATTAAACTATGCTTAACACTCCAGCCAATGCCATGGAAACATACTAAAGCTAGAACCATTTTAAACTAAAGAATTCAGCACATTAATTAATATTCATTAGCTAGGTCAACAAAACATTAAAGATCTACAGGTGAAAGTGGAAAATTGCCTTTGGTTTTTTGTCTATACTTTCTCACCCCATTGGTGGGGGGGAGAATTGAATGCATACACCAATTTTTCCTTTTTAAGTCAGGTACTTTGATGTGTAAGCATGGCCAAAGTCTGCAGTTTGGGGACAAGATGCACCAGTGAATATTTATGCCTACCTACCCATGCATTAGTAGATGTTCTTCAGTTAACCCCACATAAATGCTAATGAATTAAAATGGCTTTTTACAGATTTGTAGGCCACCCAGGAAATTACAATAAACTCTTTAACCGGTGGAGACTGGAGGAAGTAAGTAACCTTGTAAGGGTGAATGTGGGACTGGGCATGGATATGGGCCAATGACCATGGGAGGGAAGTGGGTGGAAGGAGAGAGAGAGAGAAGGTGGGTACATGGAATTTCAGGCATGCTGAAGACACATTTTTGATAGAAAGTTCTTATGGGTTCAGAAAGGAAGGAACTGCATCTTTCAAACAAAGGATATGAACTTAAAGGTTAAACCCACAAATCCTGACCTCAGCTCTTTAATTTTCTACCAAACCCATTTCCTCCATTCACAAAGCTCAGAAATTTAGCTTCAGGGATTTTTCACTTTGGAGGAATTATTATAATCTGTTCCATGGGTTTTTGAACTTTTAAATATGTTAGGTTTCCTTTTAAGCAGGGAAACTTCATCCAAAGAAAGCTTACTTGAAACACCAATCTATAAATATATAGATCTATCTCTTCCAAGTCTTACAGTTTTTTTAAATTAATTTATAATATGTATGTCATGGAAACAAAAGGTCTAGTATTGCTAGAGCACAGGGTTAAGCAGACTGTATATTGTCACTGAGATGGACATATGGTTCTCCAAAATGCCAGCCCTTACCTCTAGTCTATGAGCCTACTTCCTCAGACTTTTGCCAACTGAAACATTTTAATTTTTACCAATATAACATCTAAAAGATACCTCCTTTTGATTTCAGCTCCTTTAATTATAAGTGAGATGGAGAATATTTTTCATATGTTTGTTGAATATTTTCTATTCCTGTGGGTATGTGCTACCCTTGCTCATTTCCATTAGACTATTTTTCTCTGTCCTAAAAATTTATAAACTAATAACATTATGCTATAATCTTTCAGTTTGCTGCAGATATGTTTCTTGTTTTCTTTTATGTCTTAATTTTGTTTTGATAAATTTTTTTAAAGCTCTATAGCATTTTTAATTTAAAATATCACTGCTGTTAATGACTTCAGGCATTTATATCATGCCAAAAAATGTGTTTTTCATTCTAGAAATTAAAAAAAAAACAAAACCTCACACTTGTACTTTTCTCTATTTTTTTTAAATATTGATGTCTCTGGTCCATTGGAAGTTTATTTTCGTGTAAAGATTAATCAAGATTCTACCCCCCCACACCAAGTTGGCAGTCACATATTTAATTAATAATACATTTTTTTATCACTCAGCAAAATAAGATTTCAAGATTTATCATATTCTACATCTTGAAATCATGTCTATTTCTGGACTCTGTTCAGTCTCATTGGTCAGATTGCTTATTGCTCCTGTAGTTCAAAATTGTTTTAATTATTCTAATGTAAAATCTAATTTAATACATGGTAATATTAGTAATATTAGTAGGAGGTCATAATTTAGAGAGAGGCTAAGAAAAGTTTCACTGAGAAAAGAGATATTTCCAGTCTCTATCTAAAAAGCTCCCCCAAACTCGGGGGAGTCCTCATTGGTATTGTCTCCCTAGAGCCTTCTAGTTGATTGGAATACATGGAGAAAACCTAAAACTTCCTAAGAATAACATGCTTTACATCATAGAAAACTGAGCTCACCTGCTAACCTTGCTACTTATTAATTCTTTGCCCTTAAGTTAATCCCTCTGAATATCTGTCTCCTCATCTGTAAACTAGCAGTAGTAATGCTTAGTTTTACAAAGCTGTTTACAAATAAGAGATAATTTGCATAACACAATTAGCACAACCCCTGGACTTTGGAAGGCACTCTATAAATTGTAGCTGATAGTTATCAAAGCTGTCTCACAGCCACCTGGGTCTTACCCTCTTAGGCAAAAACAGATGAAGACATTCCATAATTTCAGGCCTCCAGAAAGTCCCCAAACTTGCAGTTTTCACTCATAGCTCAGAAGTATGACTATATCTGCTAAAAGGCTTTCATCTACTTGGTTTGGGACCCAATCAGGAATGTTCACCTGGAATTAGCAAGGGTAGTGTGGGGAACAGGCAGGTGGATCTGCATATTGATGCCATTTTAGAAACTGTTGTCACCAATAATTTTGTTTAATTGGATATTTTTACTCTTAAGGGTAAAATTATTGGAAGTCATGTTTCTTCTTTGGGAGTCCCAGGGAAATAGTTCTAATACTGGTGTCAGGAAAAATGTTTCATAACCATCCTAGACATTTTCCACAATATATATGGCATACATAATGGCCATTTTGTATTTTTAAGTGATAAAAGATTTCCAACAAAAGATTATTTATTTTGAAAAAAAATCCGTGAAATGAAAAATGTGGGTTTGTGATAGACCCTAGAAATTCTAGAAGTGTACACATAAATACACATAATGGAAGATAAGAATTGACCATCAGAATTCAATCATACAAGCATTATTGACACATACTCCCATTCCAGGTCTCTGCTGGGTAATACGGGGGCATACAAATGAAGAAGTCCCTTTCCTTTCTTGATGATGTTAATAGTCTCGAAGAGAAGAACATAACCATGTTATGTAACAAGTACTGTCTTGAAGTCTGACAGTCTACATTCTAATTCTGCCCCACCCAAATCTTAATATCTCTAAGTCTTTTTTAAATTGTGCTAGGAATAGCTATCTCAGTAGGATTGGTGAGAGGTGGATAGAATTTGATCATGCATGTAAAATCACTGGCCAGGGGCGCCTGGGTGGCTGAGTCAGTTAAGCGTCTGTCTTCGCCTCAGGTCATGATCTCAGGGTCCTGGGATCAAGTCCCACATCGGGCTCCCTGCTCAGCGGGGAGCCTGCTTCTCCTTCTCCCTCTGCCATCCCCATATACTCTCTGGCTCTCTCCATCTCTGTCAAATAAATAAATAAAATCTTTAAAAAATAAAATAAATCCCTGGCACGAATAATGATAGCTATTATAAAGAAAGCAAAAAGTACTTCAATTTTATTTAAAACATTTATGAACTGGCTATACTGACCTTTCCTCATACTATATTGTATAATATCTCACAAAAATATTTTATGTAAATCTATATAAAAATGTTAATGATTAATATTAATGAGTGCTTACTATATCCCAGCACCTTCCAGCAATTGTTCCTAACTATTCTATATATATTAATATAAAAATTCTATTATTACACTCATCTTGCAGATGAGGAAACAGAAATTTAGACAAGTTATATAATTTGCCTACAACTATAGAAACATGCTTATAAATTGATGAAGTTGTCAATTAGATTCAGCCAACCTACCGTCAGAGTCTGCACTTTGAACATCATGCTTTCCAGTCACCATTGGGATAGCATATAGGCAAAATTGAGAACATGAAGGAATTTGGTTTTGATAAGAGATTGCTGAATGGTTGCTGACTCGCACATGTAAACTGGATTTAGAGTAAACATACTTCCTGTGAAAGGAACATCAGTATCAGAATCTGATAGTCCTATCTGCCACCATCATCTACATAATGGAGATACCAACACGCATCTTGGGAGGTTCTCAGGAGGAGCAAATGAGAAAAATATGTGAAGACACCCAGCTTTGGATTGTCCACAGTCTTATGATTTTGAGGGAGTGCAATGGGAATGAAAGCCTGGGTGTCCTGCCCACTCATCCATGCCCTTTTCCTCATTCTAAGTATAAGCTCTCTTACCAAATGAATTTTAGAGTATTGAAGGACTGGATTTTGTTCAAGGGAACCATTATTTGAGGAGGGCAGACCCACAAAAACTGTTGGATCCCTTTCTCTGCCCTACAAATCACCAAGTCATGAAGGCTCAATTTCAACAAAATTATAAATTGCCTGTCATCCAGCCTCCCCACTTTGGCCTACGATTGTGGAGAATGAGCCAGTCACATGGTTCTATAATGGTCTTCTTTTTTTCCCTTCCCACATAATAATATGTTTTGGTGAATCAGCCCTTCAAGGCAACCAACACATTGGGTAAACAGAATTCATCTTTAGCATTATGTACAAGAGCAGAGGATTGGGGTGCAGGAGACCAAGTCTTTCAATTCCATACCAACAGTCAACATCGAATGACCTTGTACATGCTAATTTACGTCTTTCAGTCTCTCTATAAAAATGAAGAGTTTGATCTCACAGCTGTGATCTATGCCTATGCCTGCCTCTGTAGCTTAGTAATTATTCTGTCTCAGATATTCTACAGAACCCATTTATCATATATATGTGGCAGAGTTCAGGGGGTCTTAAATTCATCCTAGAAGGAAGAGGCATGCTTAAATGGGAGAACGGAGACTTCTCTACACAATAAAAATCACCACTGCCAAGCTCTCTCTCTCTCTCTCTCTCTGATTCAGTTTAGGGAGTTTTAAATTACTGGGCTGGAACCAGAAAACCAGGCTCTTCGTGTTCTAATTATCTGTTCCCTTTGAAGTCCCACTGGTACCGATTTGATAGAAATAGAAACTGTGGATCAAAGCTCTAGTGACTATTGTTCTTATGAGCAGGACGTGAACCCATTTCTAAAGAAACAGACCCACGCTTTCCTACCCAACTATCTTCTACAGTACAAAGTTTTCAAGCAAAAGATGTCGATTGCAATTTTCATTGTAATCACACTTTTGTTTGTGGGGGTTTCTAATGCTAACATTTGTTGGACATCTGAAAAAGCAGAGGAGCACAAGGAAGGCAAAATTGAGATCATACTGACAAGGCATTCTGTGGCATGTTTTTATCACTTAAAAATACATTCTAGTATATGTAGATATTCCCTCTCCAGGATATAGACCTTAACACCTGCCTCCTATCTTGAGAATGGGCTAGATTTAATTCACTTCAGAAAAGAATAGGGAAAGGAAAAAATGAGTAACTTTATAGAAGAAATACCTGGCAAACACTGTACCAACCAACTGATGAAGATTAATGTCACTAGTGATTCTGTGGCTATCATGTAACTTCCGAGGGGATGTGGTGAAATTTACGTCTATGATTTCCCTCCATTCTCAAAACACATAAACCCAGTCTAAACATGCAAAAACATCAGATAATGTTGGTTTCTCAGACTTGACAAATCTACCTTGATAATATAAGGGGCAATGGAGGGAATTGGCTGAAGTGTGTATGGGCATTCTCTGTACTTTCCTTGCAAATTTTCTATACGTTTAAAATAATTCTGTGTCAAAGAGTTATTTTAGAAGAACATATTATAAACACTTAAACATTTTTCTATCTTCTGATTGTTAATAGATACAGTATTCCAGAGCACTCATTAAATGGGATCATGCCTAATACAGAGCTTGGCAGATAGTAAGTGCTCACTGAAAGATAGATTTGTTATATGTGGAATATAAGAAACAGTGCAGAGGATCAAAGGGGAACAGAGGGAAAACTGAATGGGAAGTGATAGGGAGGGAGACAAACTGAGAGACACTTAACTGTAGGAAACAAACTGAGGGTTGCTAGAGGGGAGGGGGAGGGTTGCCCTTCTTAATGCCCATCATGGGGTAACTGCATGATGGGCATTAAGAAGGGCATGTGATGTGATGAGCACTGGGGGTTATACGCAACTGATGAATTATTGAACACTACATCTGAAACTAAGGATGTACTATAAGTTGGCTAATTGAATTTAAATCATAAAAAATATTTGTTTTTATTGCTGTTATAATTTTGATCACTATTCCACTCTGATTACTGAAAACTTCCCTATCAGGTGTCTTTTTATACATGCTATTTCTTCCTTGTTTTTATTTTCTTTATGCACTGAGATTATGTGGCCTGGCTTTAGAATTTGCTGTACGGTTTGAAGGTGGGGTTGTGTAACCAGCTGAGAAGAGCAAGATTATTGTTGTTGCTCTGTTTCAGTGTCATCCCAGTGGCTGTTTGATAGACCTCTGCCTCCAGATGGGTGTTATCATGTTTTTGAAGCAAATATGGAACAACTTCATGGAACTGGGATACCCGTGAGCACTTTATTTTTAAACTTGCCTTATGTATAGTTACAAAAAGAAAGATAGAGGTAGTGGGAATAGTTCTTAAGAATTGGGGCCTATTAGACAGACAGGAGTGGGTTCAGTTCCTGCTCTGCTGCTCACTAAATGTGTGACCGTATGTGAGTTAGTTAACCTTTCTCAGCCTCAGTCTTCACATCTCTAAGAGGGGATCAATGGCTATAGGCACCTTGAGAAAACACTTGTGAGGATTAAAGGAAATAGTGGATGTCAAGCACCCGGTACTCTGTTCAACACATTAAGATGCTTGTTGCTTTCTTAAAACACTATTTTCAGTACAGGTTCTTGAGGATAAGAATAACTTTCTGGGTTCTTCCGGCCACCAAAAGACCAAGGTTGTCGTTGTTTAACAAAGACAGCCTACATTCATGCTCCCCCTCTTAAAAAAGAATAAAACAAAGATAAAATTCTGGATAAGGAGGTCTTGTACTCTTTATTACATGAAAAAAATGTCATTAGAACAGGATTGATTTCACATAAAATAGCATTCTGTTTTGTCCCTTTAGATGGGGTTTAAAGGTCTGTGGAATGCTGACGTGAAGGGTGTTGAATGCCTACTTCTACATCTAATAACATAGATTACTCTTCCAAATACACTGAAATATGGTTTATGTAAAACAATGTGTGATGGAAGCTTTGAAGCCTAACCAAGGTTAAAAGCATGACTATTTTGAGGAATTCCTTGACTCTAGAAGAAGAACGAGTTAATTGATGATATAAATACTTTAGGCTTAGTCATCTGATTATGTCGTGATTCTTTCTCCCTGTTGGCCAACAAATGGTGTCAGGATGTTCCAGAGCAGAGACCTTAGGGCTGGAGAAGTGATATCCATCCTGAAATCTGCCATAAACTATTGTGTTAAGTTACAGGCAGTCTTAGAGCATAGACTATGAAATAACTGAGACCTGGTTCATATTCCTTTCTGCCCCTTGCTGAAGATGCTTATAATTTACTTCACCTATCTGTGAGATTATTTTTTTATTTATAAAATAAGGGAAGCGATTACAAGAGATGCGTAGTGGTCTTTAAACCTCATCAATAAATGACAGAAGCTTTTTGTGAAGAGATTTTTATACAGATCCTCAATACTCAAAACAGAAAAAAATAAATCTCTAGTAAATGAAGAGGGCATAGGGATGAAGGTTTGGGGAGCCCAGTCCATTGTTTGTATCCCTTCCTATCCCTGGCTCATCTCTTTGAGACACAGGGCTTGGGAACATCATTTGAAAGTAGCTGAGGAGATTAGGTAGCAAGTGCCTGCCACAGGATCTGACTTGCTGTGAATGAGATAGCTTCATAAGCACCATCAAGATGGTACCCTCGCCATTATAGTATTAAGAACGATTCTTATTGTTGCCATTGTCTGTGTGCTTCTCTACATAGCATACCTTCGGATAGCACATTTTCACCATGACCCTGCGCAAGTGGTCAGCCTGAATTATGTATATCAAATCCCAAATGTACCATGGTAAGGGACATGCTGTTGGTGTTTTTCCAAATCCAGCAGGAGTGGACCAGTCACTAAAGCAATAATTTTGAAACTTTAATAACTCAGTTCTCTTTCTTAAAGTAAAATCGTAAGCAGACTGAAGTAAATAAAATTAAACCAAGCAGGCCTGCCTCAATCTCAACACCCAGCCCCTTTTGCATCTTCATGAGGTCCCAGAGGCACCCTCCATGGGACATACACTGAAGAACTAACTACCTGACATTTTGGTCTATGGTTGTTCTTCCAACACCCACTGAGTTCCAGGTCCATGATTAATTAATACTGAGATTTGGGAAACACTGTGGGATTCACTTCATTCTAGAGGTAATGTTCATCTAAATCTTGAAATAATTAACTGCCCAGAAGTCCCCACTATGGGATATTTCTGAGTCACATAATTTCAAGACTCCCCCTAAGCTAGGAAAATAGTGTTGTTAATTCCTTTCCAAGTCTTTTAAATGGACTCAGGCACAGATCCATTGCCGTAAATTATTGTTCACTATAGTAGCAGAATGTAATTGTTAATACTCAAAACCTTCATGTTCATAAACTCACAGAGGTCAATAGACTTACTAAAAGTCACACAGCCAGTGCATTGTAGGGTGGGGACTAGAACCTATATCTCTTAAAACCTTATCTAGGGCTCAGTTATTTGGTATGGAACATGATTTTACTCATGTTCAGAGAGCACAGCCCAGAAGATTTTGGGTTTTGAGCAATTAAGGGCTCAGATCCAATCACAACAGGCAACATAGAGGTTTAAGTATGTATAGAGGTTGAGGGAGTAGAGGGAAGGAATCATACAAATGGGTGTTTGTCTAATAAGGATCAGGAAACACCTAAGTGTGGGGGTGGGGATTAATTCCCAGGTACATATATAGATGTGTACATGGTCTAGGAAGGCTGAGGCCTATTCCCACCTCCTAAACTTGGAAGTTGAGACCATGCAAATATCTCCAATTCCCAGAAATGCTTAGTGTACTCCCAGGGTAGTGGTATTTCTCTTTCCTTAATGCACTATAAATTGTTCACCATATGCTTATAAGAGCTCAAAAGCCTGTTGTCTGCTCTGTGATGTAGGCTGATCCAGAACTGGTGGTCACGACATAAAATCAAGCGGGGAATACAAGATGCGTCCATACCTCAGTGGGAAAATGATTGGAACCTGCAGCCCATGAATATTCATGGACTGATGGATGAATATTTAGAAATGGGTAAGGAGAGAAACTTCTACACAGCTATTTGGCCTTCTTGATATTTTTTTTTCTTTACACAGGCCTTGGTTCAAGACAGAAAACCATCTCTCTCTTCTCCAACCCCAAACATTCTAAAATACCTCTGTATCTTTATCTTAACATAACTAGAGAAGATATTAAAACAATGTCCTTAGAAGGCTCACAAATTCTGTCCTTTGTCAGCCATAGCATTTTACCAAAATGAAGGGTTTTCTCATAGTAGAACACCTAGCTTTAGTGCAGATATTTTAAAGGAACAAAATAAATCAGAACCCATTCCTATATCAAGAATATACCATCCTGCCCAAATAAAGCAATGATTATTTCTTGCAATAAACCTTTGCACAGACCTGGTATGAGTTTAGCTTCTTTGAGAAGCCCACTTATTTATATTAAGAAAAGGATGATTCTCACTCCAACTGTTAAAATCTTTGTGTGTTGTCTTCATGTTTGCTTTTTCTCTGGCCTTTAGTCTTTTCAATATAAGAAGAAAGGACAAGATTAGGTGTCTTGGGTCCCTTAGAGCTCAGCATTTTTCTTCAAGTCCTCCTCTTTGACTTCTTTTCTCTTCACTCTCCCTTCATGCAGCATGGTATAGTGATGGAAAGCACAGAGACTTTCAATCCATTGAGATCAGAGAGTTTCAATGCAAGTTTTAACATTTTTTGCTATCCACCCTTTAGCAAGCTTACTTAACACATATGAGCTATAGTTATCTCAATGGCAAAATATGATGAGCATATTTATCTTGTAGGGATATTGAAAGGATTAAAGGCGATTTATGTGAAGCACCTCGTAAGGCCCAAAGAAAGCACTCAAGAAACGATATTGTTTATATTACTAATTTTGCAACGCTCTCCCTTTACAGTCTTGCAGTTTGGTTTTACCACCATCTTTGTGGCAGCTTTTCCTCTGGCCCCTCTTTTGGCTTTGTTAAACAATATCATTGAGATCAGGCTGGATGCATACAAATTTGTCACCCAGTGGCGGAGGCCTCTGCCAGCTCGAGCAACTGACATAGGTAAGATTGAGGAACTAAATGGTTTTTACATTGCTGAGGCCAAGAAGAACCTTGATCTTAGCACCACGTGGGTTTCTGTCATTGGGGCTTCCTTCCAACTATCACAAAACTGAGCAATTTTGATTAACAAAATCATGAAATGAACACTAACCTAGTTGAGAGTATGTTTATCCTAAACATGCTATTTCATGAACTTGTTTATCGCTAAAAACGATCTCGTATACGTTTTTCCATGTTAATAAGTATAGTTCTGCCTCATTCTTTATAGTGACTGCACAAATTTGTATGGCATGTTATATGACATTTCTCAAAAATCATTCCCTTAACTGGAGATGCTTAGATTGCTTCAGTTTTTTCTATTATAAACAACACCGAGGTGAACATACATCTTCATACATACTTTGATCATTTCCTCAAGATAAACAGAGTGGAACTCCTTTATCAAAGAGCATGTACATTTAATTTTTTTTACATTTAAAATTCTGATAAATAATTTCTCATTATGTTCTCCAGAAATATTGTGCCAATTTATACTCCTAAAAGTGCAATAAAGGTTCTTTTTTTTTTTTATTGTTGTTCTGTCCTCAATAATCTGAGGGAAAAAAATGATATCTTGTTATGTTTCCTTGCATTTTTATAATTATGAGATTAAATATATTTGTATTTCTTCTTTACTAACTTTTTGACCTTAGGCTATTATATCTGATTTGGTAATCTTTATTTGTATGTTCAAGATATTAACCTTTGATATATATGTTGCAAGCATTTTCAAATGCTGGTTTTTAATCTTTTACTCCATCATGAATAAGATTTTAAAATCTTTAAAATAAGATTTTAAAACATATAATCACATTGATATGTCTCTCTTATAGTTGTTATTATTTATGGTATTCTTAGAAAGATCCTTTAGAACTCTCTATTTTTTTTACCATGTTTTAGTTGTTGTTTTATATTTTAGATATATGTGTGTTATTTGGTTATCTGTTGACATTTTATGATTTTATTTAAATTATTGATCTAACTGGAATTTGTTATTAATAAAGGGGTTGAAATTGAGATCCAGCTTGTTTTTTTTTCTAAAAAGTAGCCAATTTTCCCAAAACCATTTATTAAATTTTCCATCTTTCTTAACTTGTTTGAATTATCTCTATTATATGAAATTCTATATAAACTTAGGTATATTTCCAGAATCTCCATTCATCTGACTACTTATTTTTGGCATACTGTTTTAATAAACTAGCTCTGTAAAAGAAATTCTAAGTATGTCTTTTTTATTTTTATTTTTTTCATTACCACTCAATAAAACAAAATATATATAAAGATTTTGAAAAACAAAGAAAGGGGTTGGAAGGGAGAAAGTTGCCATGCTATCCAATCAGCTTTAGCACTTTTGAGTATTTCTTTCCAGGACTTTTCTTTTTTTTCATATCAATGTATTTAAAGCTAAGTTTAATCCTATTTGAAACATCAGTCTTGACTGTAACCAATAGTATGTGGATACCGTATACAATTTCAAAAGCTTTTTTGTACATCTGTATACCAGATTGGAAAAGTCAACGAGTGATTTCCAGGTCTTGACACCAAACTTTTACATTTTTATATTTTTACTTTAAAATTTACTTGAAACAATTCCTGATGTTATTTTAATTTTCAAATCTCTCTAGATGGGGTCTACCTTCCCTCTGTGGAAAAGTATTCAGTAGATGTCCGATCTGTAGTGAGATATTGTACTAAGAAAGTAAATAATGGACAGAGCTGTAGCCCCAATAGAAGTAAAACATTCTTTCCAAAGAAGAGTCATGAGAGGGTTTTAATTTTTTTGCATTTCATTCTCTATCTCTACTCTTTCTCCTACTAGGAATCTGGTATGGCATTCTTGAAGGAATCGGTATATTGGCTGTGATCACCAATGCATTTGTAATTGCTATTACATCTGATTACATCCCACGTTTTGTCTATGAATACAAATACGGCCCCTGTGCAAGTCGTTTTGAATATGGTGAAAAGTAAGGTTGAAATTCATACATTTTTCTGATATGTTTTATCTTTGTGATTGAAATGGGAACTCATTGCAAAGTTTTGTTGTGTGACCATTAAGGGCAGTGTTTTTGATCATTGTACTTACAATGTGCTTATTGGATGAAATCAAGCGGGATAAAAAGGGCGACAGTGCTTTTTATGCAAATAATTTTAGAGTCTATGTTTTTACTTGTAAATGCATCACTGGTATCCAAATGTTAAAAACATTATAATGTATTTAGAAGTCAAATTCAGAACTGGAAGAGATGTTAGAAATCATCCAATGCAATCTTCTGACTATATAGTTGGGAAAACTGAGGCCCACTTTCTTCAGGAAATAAAGCTAGTTTGCTTCAGGGAATAAGGCTAGTTTGCAGGGACATACAGAATATGAAGGAAATGTCAGCTATGACGAGAGAGCTTTCTTTCTTTCTTTTTCTTTCTTTCTTTCTTTTTCTTTCTTTCTTTCTTTCTCTTTCTTTCTTTCTTTTTCTTTCTTTCTTTCTTTCTCTTTCTTTCTTTCTTTTTCTTTTTCTTTCTTTCTTTCTTTTTCTTTCTTTCTTCTTTCTTTTTCTTTCTTTCTTTCTTTCTTTCTTTCTTTCTTTCTTTCTTTTTCTTTCTTTCTTTCTTTCTTTCTTTCTTTCTTTCTTTCTTTCTTTCTTTTCCTTCCTTCCTTCCTTCCTTCCTTCCTTCCTTCAAGATTTTATTTATTTATTAGGGAGAGCACAAGTCAGGAGGCAGAGGGAGAAGCAGACTCCCCGCAGAGCAGGGAGCCCAATTCAGGACTTGATCCCATGACCCTGGGATCATGACCTGAGCCCAAGGCAGATGCTTAACCAACTGAACCACCCAGGTGACCCTTTTTTCAAAAGGAATTTATAACTAGGGATTTTAAGGTACAGAAAATGCTGCCCTGAATCTTTTGTCTTTTTTGTTGTGGTTGTTATTAAAATTTGAGTCCACACTATAGAGCAGCATTTCTCAACCTTTGTGCTATGGACATTTTAGGCCAACTAATTCTATTTGGGGGGGAAGATGGGGGCTATTCTATGCATTGTAGGATATTCAGCAGCATCCTTGGCCTCTACCCAGTAGGTATAAATAGCAACCTCCCTATTCCCCACGTTGTGACAATCTAAAATTGTCTTCAGACATTGCAAAATGTCGCCTTGGGGACAAAGTCACCCAGTTTACAAGCACTCATTTAGGGGAAATGGGTTTTTCACATCTTTCCTTCTTGAAAGCAAGTATTAAGAAAGAATGCAAGAGAGCACTGGACTTGGGGAACAGGAATTGGAGTTTCAGCTGGAGATTAGCCGCCGTGTGGAAGTAGTGATGGGAGAAGCCACTTCCCCTCCTGCCTCAGGAGCAGCTTTGGGCATGCATCTTATTTAGATGCAGGGCATGTGCCCCAAGAGCCTGAGCTGTGGCTTAAAATGAAATCAACCCTTAGCTCTACTGACAAACTGATGTTTTTCTCAGAACATTGAAATGCCTTTCTGAACATAAATATCTGTTTTTCAAAGAGAAGTAATAAAGGCATAAAATATATTTTGGAGTCTTGTCAAAGGACTTTAACTTAAAATCAAACACCCTACGTTCAAATTGTAACTCTGCCTTTTACTAAAAGGCACATCAGTCTGGATCTATAATAAAGAGATGGTGTCTAGGGACGCCTAGGTGGCTCAGTCAGTTAAGTGTCTGCCTTTGGTTCAGGTCATGATCTCAGGGTCCTGGGATCGAGTCCCGCATCACACTCCCTGCTCAGTGGGGAGCCTGCTTCTCCCTCTGCCTGCCTCTCTCCCTGCTTGTGCTCTCTCTCTCTCTCTCTCTCTCGCTTTCTCTCTCTCTGACAAATAAAAAAGAAAAAAAAAGAAACGGTATCTAAAGTAACATTTTATAAACTATAAAAGACTATGTAAACAAACTGGTTTTAGTATTAATAGTGAAAAGCCAAGAAAAGTCCCTTTCTTTAAATTCAAAATAGTCTAGAAGCAGATTTTGAGGGTTTATTATAAGTAAGCAGATTTGGTAGCCCTCTCCTTAGTAGCATTATTTGCTACTGTCTTTGCTTCCACCTAGTGGCAGGTGAAAATGAAATTGGTTGGTATCTGCTCTGTTTACGTTTCAAGTCCTGGCTTTTTGTGAAGATAGCACCTGACGCCTCCATATTCAGTGACCAGATGTAGAATAACTTCAAGAAGAGATGTGGAGGGCTTAGATGAGTTTGAAACCACACATTCCTAGGGCCATTCTGTTATTTAATTTTTTCCGGGTATCTATAGCAGCTAAACTGGAGTAGATTCATTCAGATCATAAATTTTCAGACCAAAGTAGCAAAAGGACAAAATGGCAGTGAAGAGGAAGGTATTGGCAAGAGAGCAGTCGGGATGATAAATCATGGGATCTGAGATGGACGAGGAAGGGCGTGCAACCAGTGCGGTCCTGTACCTTAGAATTCAGGGGTTAGAATGAGGTCGATGTACGTTCGGATCCAGGTTTTAAGAGCTGTTTATCCTGGGCAGTGATTCTCAACGTGGGACCTGCAGGTCTCCTTCAGATTATTTTCATAATAATACTAAGATATTATTTGCCTATTTTGCCATATTGACATTTATTCAGATGGCACAAAAGTGATAGTGGATAAAATGTTCCAGTGGCTTCACATAACTGAAGACAGTGGTACCAAAAAGTACTAGCAATGATTGTATTACTCACCATTGTAGAACTACCATTTAAAAAGTTCCAGTAATAAAATTCAGAATGCCCTTGATGAAGCAATAAAAACTATTATTTTTATCAAATCTCACCCTTGAATAAATGTCTTTTCAATATTTTATTTGACAAAATGCAAAGTGTGATAAAGCTCTTCTGCTACATGCTAAAGTACGGTGATGGTCATCTCAGAAAAAAAAAACACTTGCATGACTGTTGGATTTGCAAACTACACGACATTTTTTAACATGAAATAATGATTGTCAGATAAACTATGATTATTCAGACTTGGGTATTTAAGAGGCAGTCTTCTAGAAATGGACAAAACTGGCTTGTCACTTTAGAGGAAATAATTGACAGTATTTGTTGCCATTAATAAAGTTCAAGTTTTGAAGTGAAAATCAGAATTTTGGATTATTTTATCTACCACTGAGCTTGAAAGGTTCTCAGTACTTACAGATTTTTTCCTGATAAAAAATCAGTGGTGATATTAGCAATTATGATTTTCATAGTCTATAGTAAAAATATAACATTTGGAAGATCTGCATAATTCAGGAAACAAATATTTCCCAAGTGACCCATATTTAATGTCACAAAATCATGCATGGATAAAATATGAATTCAAAGTACAAGATAGACCTGTGGATAAATCCACATAAAAAGTTTATTGATACTTTAAGACTCCACACTGCAATTAAACTTTAAGAAATGACCACAGGTAAAACTTTGGTGTAATGTCAATGAAAAATATCAATAATTACTTGAAATGCTATTAAAATATCCTTTGTTTCAAGTACTTATCTGTGTAATTATCAGATTCTCTACTTATTCTTCAACAAAACAACGTATTGCAACCAGATTTAATGCAGAAACAGATATGAGAATCTAGCTGTCTTCTATTAAGGCAGGCATCAAAGGATTTGCAAACACGTAAAACAAGGTCATTCTTCTCACTTCATCTTTTGGAACATACAAACTATTTTTCTTTAAAAATATGTTACTTGTAATGTGTTTGATAAGTTATTTTAAATGAATTAATAGATAAATATTTTATAAATTTCTGTTTTAATTTCTAATGTGTTAAATACCAATACAAGTACCCCTCTGTACAAGGCTCCTTGAGATTCTCAGTAATTTTTAAAAATGTAAAGGTTAGCTGAGATCAAAAATTTTGAGAATTACAGGCTTAGGAGGAAGTTATTTAGTCTCTGTAAAACTTAGTTCTTTAATCTCTATGATGGAGATGATAATATAAATATTCTAAGGTTATGGTAAAAGTTAACTCTGACCACAATTTAATACTCACCACTAGGACAGGGATTTTAACCTGTTTTGTTCATTGTCAAATACCAATTGTCTAGGAAGTTTTCTAACGAATTGTAGGTCCTCAATAAACAGATATTGAACAAGTTAATAAATCACAAAGATACATGTTGATCAATTGGCTGCTTAATTACAATTAGCCAGATAGGGTGATATGCATGCATATTTATAAAACATATATTTATAGAGTTTTAACACATGGAGAGTAATGAACACAACGCCAAGTGCATAGTAAACACTTAATAAATGTAAGCCAAATGAAAGGTGGGAGAAATGGTGGACAAGATTCTGTCTCATTGAGGTAAAATTACAGATTAATGGAAGTCAGGAGATAGAATCAGAGAGCTGAATAACTAGGAATTTATAATTAAAATGGAAGGAATAATAGCACTTACTGCATCCTGTCATGTGTAATGAAGGAATTGGACTAGAAATTTATAACTCTGAATCACATGATGCTTTTTCTTTTCTCCCAGTTGTTTAAAGGGATATGTCAACAATAGCCTATCCTTCTTTGACCTGAGTGAGCTTGGTATGGGAAAATCTGGTTATTGCAGGTACTTACTTATAAATTAGAGCTATATTTTCTTCTTGCTTTCATCTCCCATCTCCTCTCTCTACACGCTGATGAGCCCATTTCAACTGTCATTTTGGGGTTTTGGCAAATTAAAAACATTTGGGGCCTTTGCACTTTGGTCTCTATTCCTCAAATTCTTTGTTTTGTGGATTTTAGGTACCGAGACTACAGAGGTCCCCCTTGGAGTTCCAAACCCTACGAGTTCACCTTACAATACTGGCATATCCTTGCTGCTCGACTGGCCTTCATTATCGTGTTTGAGGTTAGTAACGGGCTGATAAAATCTTGGTAAATGCTTTTCCGGCTGATACATTAGTTGACTCTTCGATACAGTAGTTCCTCATTGACTTCCAAAAAGGGACTTTTGTTTACAGTAAAAGGTTTGGATATGGTGAAACTGTTATACGACATATAAAAAAGCAAGAGCTGAATAAGTAAGAAGGTAGGTCAGTGGGTATTTATAACAGAAAACTAGGATAAAAAAGCTATTAACAATTGAACTGAAAACTTAACTTTGAGCCTCCCAGTAACCATTTGAAAGAAAGGATGGTTTTCATCATTTGATGAGAGAATCTATACTTATTCATAGGGTGGAGAAACTTATTTGCTAATCAACTTAATTACAGTTGACCACATGTGTATTTGTGTAAGGGACAGTGCATAATTGAATAAACTATGCCTGAGAACACTTTCATAAATGTGCATAGATTTTGATTATCAGTCATTAATATTAGACTGTAGTCCTGTGAAGAAATTTTGAAGCAGCTGCAGTATTATGGGCTTCCTTAGCATATAAGAAGCTTGATACAGTGAAGAATTTAGTACTGGGAAATACTGAGTATTCTCTAAGGTACCACCAAGTTCTGTGGAAAAACTTTGAATGCATCTGTTTTTTAGGGAGAGAAAAAAAGTAGCCATACAGAAGACTTTTGGAAAAAGTCTTTTTAAAGGCAGATATACCTCTCCACTGATCTCCAAAACATATCTCAAATTTTGTAGTGAAATGTCCTTCATCCATAAAATGAAATGCTTACCTCTAAGGTTTAATCCGGATGAAATTCTATTACCTAATGACTCTATTTGCCTGTACAAATGTCTCCTGATGAAGTGTGACTTTTCACTTTATTACAGGTAGCATAAGAGGTTAAGGCGTATTTCCAATCCAGTGATTCTGAAAAGTCTTCTTTTGTTGTGTTTTTAATGTATACTTTTTTCTTCTTCATCTTCTTTTGGGACTCAAGTGAACAGCCTTAGTCAAATGTCTCGATTCCCAGCAACCTGTCTTTGTAGATACATATGATTCCCTCTTTATCTTTTCTTCTTCATTCCTCATTACTAATTCCATTACCCACCTACTCCCAAAAGCACCCATTCTCTTTTCTTCAGAAGTTTTTCCACATGTTTATTTGAATATACATATATATAGTATTTTTTTATTATTATGTTATGTTTTTTAATTTTATTATGTTATGTTAGTCACCATACAATACATCATTAGTTTTTGATGTGGTGATCCACGATCCATTGTTTTCATAAAACACCCAGTGATCCATGCAGTATGTGCCCTCCTTAATACCCATCACCGGGCTAACCAATCCCCCCACCCCCCTCCCCTCTAAAACCCTGTTTATTTCTCAGAGTCCATAATCTCTCATGGTTCATCTCTCCCTCTGATTTCCCCCCCTTCATTTATTATGTTATGTTAATCATCATTAGTTTTTGATGTAGTGTTCCATGATTCATTATTGTTTTAAATGTTCTTTTTTCAAAATTACTTCAATGGTATTATGATGTAATAACTCATTTTTATCTCTTACCCATTTTACTTTTTTTAGATATAGAGAGAGATCTAGCCATGAAGTCTACCCACATTTAAGTAATTTCTTCTGTCTACTTAGTATGATAGTTCTTTGAATTTAAATACCATAGTCCCCATGGGTGGCTACTTAGGCCTACAATAATTCTCTCTACCTCTATAATCTCTTATCAGAAATCTTGGACATGTCACCTTCTGAACATATTTAAGGGTTTTTCAGGAGTATTATACTCAGGTGTGGAATTATTTATATGTATACTTGATTTCACATAATACTGACAGGTCCCTCTCCAAAATTCCCTTAGATTTTCACCAGATTTTCATATTGTCTGAATTTGTAGTATTTTGCAGTTGGATAAGAGTAAAGTAATATTTTGTTTTAATTTTTTTTGGTTTAAACCGGTTAACTAAGAAAATGAACAACAACTTTAATAACAAAAAACCAATTTGGTTTCCTTTTTTGTGAATTTATAATTTTGATCTATTTTTGGCTGAGTTTCCAGTTTATTTGTTACCAAATTTCAAGATTTTCTTATGTGTTTACCAGTTATAAATCAGTCTTTACCAGGTATAAACATTCCAGATATCTTTTTCTTGTCCCTAACCTATTAATTTTATCTATTAACAAATAATGTCTAATTTTGATGTCATCAAGCCCATCATTGTTTTCCTATTAAGGTTTTGGCTTTTTTGGTCTATTTCCTTGGGAAATTTTCTTATCTCCAGGTCAAAAGGATATTCTACTATATTTTTTACTATTAATTTTATAGTCTTACCTATCACACATCATAAAGATATCAGGACTTTTCATAGAGTCTGAGGGAAAGGCTTATTTTTCTTATTCTCTATATAGTGACATGATTTTTTGTACGGCTATTTAGTAATATGTTATTTATCCACTGATTTGTAAATCCACCTCTGTAATATTCCAAGTCCCTAGAGTAGGCATGTGCCTGGCCTCATTTGTCATTACTTCATTTGTCTATGCCTGTTCACTATCACACTATTTAAATGCCATGGCTTTGGAATATATCTTCATATCTGATAAAGCCAGCCACTTCCCACCCCTGCCAAGTCTGCTCTAATTTTTAAAAAATTGCCTTGGCTATTTAGAGTTATTAATCATTCATATGCATTGCAGAAGCCATTTTTCAGATTCCCCCAAATATCATGCAAGGATTATGGTTAGAATTACATTTATAGAAAGCACATGTTGACTTATTTACATAATCTGTACTGATTCATTAATAAACATGGAATTTGTCCAAATCATTCTTATATCCTATAATAGAGTTTTAAAATATTCTCTTGCTTGTTCATTCCTTCTTATTTCCAAATACTATCTTAGCCTCCATTATGATTTGATTGATTTTTTGCTGGAATTCTAATTGTCTTTCTGAAATGTGTGTAACTCCTTGTTTAAGTCTTTCATTGGTTCTAATCTTCTGTCTGTTAAATCTGTTAGATTGTCTTTTCAAAGGATAATTCAAGTTGCCAATAACAACAGCTTTGTCTCTGTACTTGCGAGGTTTATGCCTCATTTCTCTTGCTTGCCTTACTGTGTTGTTGGAAATTTCAGCATGGTGTTGAATAGCAGTGGTGTGAGCAATTTTGACTTGTTTCCAAATTTAATACAAATACTTCAGATTTTTTTTCTTTAAGTATGATACTTGCTGTAGGTTTTTTGTTTAAGATAAATTCTGTCGGTTTAAGAAAATTGTCATCTATAACTAGTTATAAGCTTGCCTTCATAAATGATAAACCTCAGCTTTTTTAAAAAAATAGTCTTTTAAAAGTACTGAGTCATCTTTGGATATCAATCTTTCTATGAGAATCAGTTTATAGGGTCATTTATTACCATTGTATAGGACTCGGTGCATATTCTTCACTAATTTAAATTATAACAAATGTTTTTGATTTTTATTTCTATACTTTTGAGACATATTGCTGGATAGTTCTGTGAATACCAAATATTTGATCAGGAAAGAAACTCCTGATCTACTTTTCTATGGGAAATATGACCTGCTTTACCGAGATATACCATGCAGTGCCGTTTACTGGGACACTCACAGTAAACCCAGTTAAAAGTGCCTTGAATTCTTCCTTTCCACATAGACAATCGTCACAAAGTCCTGTAGGTAAATGGGTTTTTTTCCATGTATCATCCTAACTCTATGAGTCTCAGATTTTCTTTTCTTTTCTGAGCAATTGAAAGGCTAGCTTCCTCCACGGACACAGAGAAAGGATGCATTTTTTGTAATAGGAGATGATACTTAAGTGGTGCTTATACTGCACCAAGCCCTTCTCTAAGCACTTCACATATATTTGCTCATTTAATCATCATAACAACCTTTAACAGATACTATTATTGTCACCATTTCAGAGATGAGACACAGAGAACATAGGTGATTTGCATAAGGTTACACAGCTAATGAGTGTCAGGGGATGGTTCAGACACAGGTGGTCTCATTCAGCCTCTGAACTTGAGATCATAGGCTTTTACCTTTTGGTTTTTGATCCTGTCTTTTTTATATACAATACTTTTGTCAGTCTATTTTTAAAAATTAATATATTTTTATCATAAATGAATTATGTAATAGAGACAAAATATTTTACAATATTTGAACTTACTAGAGTAGAAATTCTATAAAATGCATGTGCTGGACGTTGAGTCCAATGCCAATATCCCAGGCAGACTATATTCTATGTGTCTTGTACCTTGTGATTACAATGTATCACACATGAGCTTTCCCTGGATGTGATCTCTCATCTGTGTATAACAATGCATGTCATAACAGGGTTGCATAATATAGAAAGATGTGAACTTAAGATTCAGTCAATGTTTATAAAGTGACATCAACATATGGCACCAAAAAGAGGAAAAAACTTCTGTTGTCTCCTAATCCTTATGTGATTGAAAGCAACGGTGTAGTAGTCCCAATGTCATTTCTGAAAATATTAATATTCTAGATAGTACATCCTGAGTTCTGATGCTTGACTGTAAGGCAAATGCAACATTGTTTATGATCTGTTTTATAATTGGCCTTCTAGAATCTTTGAAAAGTGTACTTTCCCGTCTTAAATTTGCAGCACCTTGTTTTTGGGATCAAGTCGTTCATCGCATACCTGATTCCAGATGTACCAAAGAACCTGTATGACCGAATACGACGGGAGAAGTACTTAGTCCAAGAGATGATGTACGAGGCAGAACTAGAACATTTGCAACAACAGCGGAGAAAAAGTGGTCATCCGGTTCACCATGAATGGCCTTAGTTGATTCCTGTTGCCCACAGGGGCAATAGCATTAGTGGGAATGACAACAATTTTAAATTCTAGGTGGGATCCAGGAGGAAGGCATACCTGGCAAACCACATGTATGATATGTTACTTGGAAATGCAGTGCAGCCATCTCTGGGATTTGGGGTGTCCAGGCTTCTAGGGAAGAAATAGATGACTCCTGACCTTTAAAAAAATGGTTAGTTTGACAGTACAGGAAGCCAGGACCTAATTCTCAGTCCCAGCCTCAGGGACTTGTGTGTGTGGAGACCTCCACCCTCCCTCAGCTGCAGTGTAAAGGGAAGGGTGATGGTGAGGTTTCTAGCAACAGATTTCCATGTAAACGTTCATAAGCCAGGCATGCTCAAAGTCTCATGTGTCTTCAATCACATACTCTGGAACCTTAGGTTGAGTTGAGATACTTACAGGAAATGACTTAGGAGGAATGACTTAAATCAGTTATTGCCTTTGCTGCCAGAATTCCATGTCCCTTCAGCTTCTAGGTTTGGGGAATTTTTCTTGTTCCTTGCTGAGATTATGGATCTGTGCCACACAGAATTTATGCTGCTTTACATTGACTATGCAGTGGAGTTGTTGGACACCACCTTTAGTAGTCAAGCCAAAAACTAAGATTCTAAAAAGAATACCATTCACTGAAATATATCCTATTGCATTGGCTACATTCAAACGTGTTGTTTCACTGGCAGAACAAAGTTGCACTGCTTTAAAAACAAACAAAAAAAACACCTGAATTCCAATGGAGCCACATATTTAAAAAATATGGGCGTTTATTCTCATATCATTTAGAATATCACTCATCCGTATTTTACCGTGGAGGGCTGTTTTATAGTATTTTTAGTTTTTTCCTCCCTGGTTTATTATAACAACTCTCGCAGAATAACAATAACTTGAAATGCTGTACATATGTTGGTTTTCCTTGTACCTTTGCACCTTGGTAATATGTAATGCAAGTTACATTTCGTGCAGTGCTGAGACCAGTTACATAGTATGCCATTGTGACTTGTTTATTCAGGAAATCAAAAGCCAAATGCTTTGCAACACTTTAAGCTTTTCTAACAAAGTGCACTTTTGTTCATGAGCTAATGAAAACAATGCATGAATATAAATTTATATTATTTGTAAAAAAAAAAATAACAAACCCACATGTTTTGTTTTATTTTCTTTTCATCGATGTTTCTTTGATAGACTGATTTGGTTGATTTTTGAAAACTCTAAAACCAAGATCAAATCAATTGTGAAAGACATCATTTTGCTTTGTTGTGGATTTGCTATTTCTGCGTCAACTCTATCTGTGTTATTGTTCACAGACGGATGAAGTGGGAATGATGAAGCATTCAAGGAAAGAAAGTCTGGTGGAGGCTTAAGTAATAGGGAGCAGGAGGGGAAGAAAGAGGAGAGTTGAAGTAAGGGAACGCATGGGAGAAATGAAGACACCTTTCCTTGGCAAAACAATCAAAACAAATCTCACTTTTCCTCCCCTGGGAATGGGGTGGCAAATCACATATACTCACACATTCACATATATACATGCATATGTGATTCTTATCTTTGTCTAGTTTGTTTTGTGCTCAAAGCACAGTTACTTCTAGAATGCAAAAAGACCAGATTAAAGACAATAGAAATAAAGATACTTTGTATATATGCTAGCGTGTCTCTAGTAAGAAAATTATAAAGTTTCTCTTACTAGAAAATGACTTTTAGTCATCCTAACACTTAAAATGGTTTTTTGACTTTTTCTTCTTTTACTCCAGGGAAGAGCTGTGATAGATCATAGTCGTTCTTTGGTTTGCGGTTGTCAAAAACACTCACCTCCCTACTTGACCTCTGATTCTGACTTAGCCAGGGGTAGGACCTCAGACTCTATGAACTTCCTCCCATGCCCATGTCACGTGGCACTCTTTCATTCAGATTCCTCAGAGGTTCTGTTTCTGCCACCTGCACATTCATAGCAACTAATTCCACTAACTACGCAAAGGAGTTTTAAACTCCTTCATTTTTGTAACATCTGCAGCATTTCCTTTTCTTTGTTAGTTAAATGTATACCATGCCTGAGAATAAATACTCTGCATGCCTATTGAAAACGTAAGTGAACCTGACATTTATGTCTTTCCCAAATTAGGGATACAAGACATAGACATTTGTCTTACAGTAGAGCAAAGAATAATGATAGCCATGCCCTTGAGAATTCTTTCTCTTCTTATTTTATATTACCACATTCAGCGTTTAAAATCATATTGATTGCCTAGAGAGAAAAGCATGAAAAGAGAATGGTATTTTTAATAAAAAATTATAATACATTGATTTAGACATTGCCTTCTCTAGTAATTTCTCAGACCAATCGAAAAATAGAGAAACAATGAAAAAGTTATCTGAAAATTTCCTTTTGTGCAACAATGCAGTAGAACCTAGCTCTGCCTTCATCGTTGTTGACAGCAAAATATTTTCAGCCCCCTCACAGTATGTGAGTTTTAAATCACTCTGCTTTCGTTGAGAGAAATGTTTTATATCATGGTTTTCATACGAATACAGATTATTTCTCAAAGATTTATATAGCACACACTATTCTCAGGAATTCTGTATTACATGAATGCTGCTTATATATTTTCATATTCTAAATTGTTGTCTTTTCAAGCAAATAACTAATATATATGTGCATGAAGTCTGCCTTGACAAGTTGTTCAGAGCTGAAGCACTTTCCCGGTACAGTGTGTGGAAAATTGCTCTAGGTAGTACTAGGTCGTAGCTGAAATAGTTTGCAGTTGTCTGAGTCTGTGCACGCCCTTTTCAATAAAATGCTCTTGAGTGACTGCATGACGAGATACAACTTCTGAATGATGCACTTTCTTTCAAAACGACTCTTAGCACAATCTATTGTAGAATGGAATGAAAGGGAACATTTTTCACTCAATAAATTATGTGATATGATATTTCTTCCTATAATTTGCATGTTCAAGTTGATCCTGCTTGTTTTTTAAATAGAAGTTGGAGTGCGTATGGGGAGAGGGGATTGCTCACTCTTTAGCTCCAAAGGCAATAATTTCCTAGTCTTGCAAGCTCTTGTTCCACTCTTCAAAAGTTTTGGCTGTTTGTCTTCTGCTAAGCTCATTGTCATCATCAAGGCATTTGCACATGAAACGTATAGATGGAGAATCATACTGATTCTAATAATGCTTTGTTCTAGAAACAGATGGGAGAGGAACTTGAGTAGTTCTTAAGAAGGCAATAACGCTTCTATCCTACAGAAGCATTTTCTTTTTTTCACACTTCAGCTGGCTCCACCAATAACTGTCAAAATCTCCTTAGGAGAAGAATTTTAGCACTGATAAAGTTCCTGCCGAGGTAGGAGGACATTTAGGGGCACTGTAGCCAACCGCCAAAAAGAGGTGACCAAATTGCCCATTTTTTCTCAACGTGGTCAAAATTGAAATTCCAGGTTGGCTGAAGAGTTGCTTAACTAATATGGCTGAATTGATTAGTCTGTCAACTGGAGGCAGGTAGACAGAAGCCCAGGGTGTGGTATGTGTGCTTGTACTTGTGTGTGTGTGTGTGTATGTGTGTGTGTATGTGTGTGTGTGTGCGTGCACGCACTTATTGTCTGTTAGATATGCCCAACTCGGTCCTACTATGGTCATAAGGTATTTCCATTCCATTTTCCCCCAAATCACAGTATTATAACAGGTTTTTTAGGGATAGTTGTGGATTTTATCCGGGGAATCAGTTAACATCTTATTCTTTCTGCTTTTCTCAGTAACTCAGGAGAGAGAACCTTTCAGGAATGGCCTAAAACACCTAGCTTCTGATAGAAAAGTGTAACTTTTCCTACAGGCATTTCTATTCAAATTGAAATGTGCCAGCAATACGTAGTCCAACGGGAAGATTGATTTTTAGCTAGAATCATTGATCAGACTAGGTTCCTGCTACCAAGGATTTGTGTATTTTTAATGGTGATAAGTTACCTTCAATGGAACATGCCATCTGGGTTCATCTGAAAAACCACAACCACAATCACATTTGATGGTCCTTTCTAGAAAACACAAGTGCTATAGCCCCTGTGTTCTAACCACATCCACATTAAGGCATCTTTTCCAGGGAAGTAAAATGAAAGCAGATAGGTTAACAGAAAAAAGACATATTTAGGATCAACTCCGGTTTCTTGTATAATCAAAGTCTGCTCTCTGGGAGAAGAAGCCTATCCATCAAACCTCACTGTTCTTTTTTTTTTTTTTAAGATTTTATATACTTTTTGAGGGAGAGAGAATGAGCAGTGGGGAAGGGCAGAGGGAGGGAAAGAAGCAGACTCCCTGCTGAGCAGGTAGCCTGATGCCGGGCTCCATCCCAGGATCCAGAAATCATGACCTGAGCTGAAGGCAGATGCTTAACTGACTGAGCCACCCCGGCGCCCCAAACCTCACTGTTGTATATGATGGTACCAGTGTGTGCCCCAGCACAACTGTCCCTAGATAAAGCCTCTTGTTCCACACCCACCTGGCCCCAAGTACTAGGCTTGAGTATACCAGACAGTAAGCTGTGTGGATGTTGTGTTGCATCTTTCTCTAAGACAGAAGGGGGTCAAATTTCCAGACATATGCCCAATATTGACTTCCTCAGAATATTTATTTCCATCTTAATTCTCTCTATGTGAGGGGAAACAGTTTCTCTGCTGTTTCTCAGAAGGCAAAAATTTCCTATATTATTAGTTGAAAAGCAAAATTTAATGAGATCTATTTAGATATACCCCACAAAATATAATTGTTACAAGGATGGCTAGCCCCACGTGATTCTCAAACTTCCTCAAATCCTTTGTAATTATTTCGTCAGTGTCCATGCCACTCAACACTACCAGGTGAACACAGTAGGCTAAGTGGCTTTGTTTTTTTTTTTTTTTGAATGATTATTTTTTTAAGTAATCTCTACATCTGACATGAGGCTAAAACTCACAACCCTGAGATAAAAAGTCACACACTCTAATGACTGAGCCAGCCAAAGGCCCCCACATGAGGCTAAATTTAGTATCTTTTTAACAAGTAGTATGAGCAGGCTTTTCCCACTTTTTGTTAAGTGAGAAGAGGGGAATTGAGTGGCCAGAAAAATTGGTGGCAAAGATAATTGTGGAAGCAATGTTTGGGGGATGGTGGAAGGAACTTAAGGATTTCCTACCTGAGCAAAAATGTCTGCTTTGCAAATCCTATTTCAGACTCTGCTCTACACACACCCAGCCTTCTTTCTGACTGAAAAACAACTGCAATTTCGTTCATCCTTTAACATTCAGAGAAATGAAGGGTTTTTTCCCCTTGTTATTTTTTTCTTACCTATTTTAAGATTATGAAGCTAAATATGGTAAGCTTAGATTTCAGTGACAACTCCAGCCAAAGAATAAACATCTCAATTTTCAATGCTGAAGATGAAAAAGTCCTTAAAAATATGCAATTTAATCTTCTTAGGATGTGTGACTATCGGCTTCCAAGTTCTATTTTTCAACTAGGAATGAGGTAGGGAGTCCTATAATTGAAGAGGAAGTTTGGGGAAGAGACAGAGTCGATTTCTCCAACCATTTTTGTTCTCCATAGGAGAAATTATGTTGCAACTGTATATTTAGCCAGATGAACTTAAATGTTGATTTTTTTTTCTTTCTACTGTCTGCAAGTCCTCTGCAAATCAAATTATATGCAGTAGATTATTAATCATTAAAGATTCCTTCCAAACTCTCCTGAGAAGTTTTAAAGCCAATTTAAGGAAGATTTGCTCTGTTGAAATAGATTGAATAAAATTTTAAGGTCAGCATTCTTGAAAATAGTAAACAATAAATGTACATAAACCTTCTTGATGTAGATTCCAAATCAATCCATTACATTGCCTCTACAAATTCTGCTGACCATCTTACGCTGGTACAAATAAGCAACTTGTGGATTGCTCATTTATTTTCTTACGTGGTAATTACATTAGAGCACTGAATCAATGTACTACATGAAATTATTTTTAGCTTTTTAAATATGTCAAAGCAGATTCTGTAATGGGGAACTGGATGTTCAGAACACCTGTGTACACAGTTGCCTTAACATTTTTTAAAAACAGATGAATGGCTGTTTCT